AGAGCCTAAGGAGGAGACCACTTCCCATTAGCAATTGGTTTACATTATTTCTGAGTACAGATTTGTGATGCCAAAACAGAATGCAGATGTACCTGATTGGCCTCAGATGATAAGGACTCCAGTTGGCCCTCAAGCCTCATTTTCTCTTTCAGAACTTGTAGCATTTCATCATGGCCCATTACAGAGCTCTCTACAGAAATACTGAAAAGTGTAAAACATCAAACTTAGCACTGATATACTACATCTTCCACAGATATGTTGTGTAAGGTGCTGCACCAGCATTTGATTGTGAATGAATGCCACTAATTTGTTGTATGTATGTCTGTATGTTTATATGTTAGTCCTGCAAACAATTGAATAAAACCAAAGTAATAAAAGTGAATATAGTATGCAAATGTAATACAGGAACATCATTATGAATTGCCCATATTAATTTGTAATCCCTATATATTGTATATACCTGCTTGAGAAGCTGTCTCTGCGGCTCCGTGGCTCAGCTGTACTTTCCTGATCTTGCTCCAGCTCTAGCAGATGCTGCTCTTCACTTGCGGCTTGTAGCACCTCTTTAAGTGAGGGGAACTGACCCATGGCCTCTGCAGCGATCTGTCTCCCTTCCACCATATAGGGCCCTTGTTGTCTGTCCACTGCAGCTGCGAGCATGCCATAGGTACCTCTAGTCGACACGCTGCTGTAGGATGAACTGTCACTGTCATTCCCATCATTCCCTGGTCTTGTCCCAGACTCACTGCCATCAATCTCCGATACATTATCAGTGGGAAGAGGAGAAGCACCAAGTTGTCTATCTACTTCACTGACGCTCCGCTCAGATATAATGCTCACCTCCGACACTGTTGACACTGAGCTAATACTGGTTTGAAGTGATCCCACAGTGCTATCCGCTGACCTGGCACCACCACCTGTTCCGCCACCTCCATCATTTTCTGTCTTATAGTCAGCCAAAGAATGAATTTTATTTGGGCGAGGAGACCTGGACTTTTTTTCTTTGGGAGGTGGGATACCCAGGCTGCCCAGTTTGGGACCACGGGGGACACTAGTTCTCAGGAAAGAATACTCTGTGGTCATGGCAACAGTGCTGGCCCGAGGAAGGGCTTCAGGATGCAGCATAAGCTCAGGATCTAAAGTACTGAACGGTCTGTTCTTAGGATTGGAGCGATGAGACTAAGGACAAAAACAAAAATTAAGATAACGATTACTTCTGTGTAAATTGCTTGGTCTAGAATAAACATCCAGTAATATAAAACAAACTGATTACTTACTCTCTCCTTATGTCTCTGCACTCTGTATTGTTTGAGCTGCTCCTCCAGACGTCTACGAGCCTCATAGCGGATCTTTTCTTCATTTTCCATCTCCAATGAAGGCTTCTTATTGGCTGATATATTTATTATAGTAGGAAATCAACAAGCAAGCAAATTAGAAAATTAATCAATATGAGTTTTAGCTTTTGTCAAGATCATCCATAAAACCCATACAAACATTAATGGTAATGCTCGTACTGGATTTTGTGTAGTCTGTACAGGGCTCAGACATTTCTACATTAGTAATCAGAAACAAAACATTCAAATCTCAAAAGGCAGGCCTTCACTCAACAGATAACCAGAGCCGCCACACCTTTGGATTTGACTGTGGAGAATCATGTACAGGCTATAAGGTTTGCACAAACTGATAGCTATATGGTTTTCACCAACTGATAGTTATTACATGACACATGCAAGTGAATGTCATGCTCAATCCACACTCAGAGGTCATTAAAGTAAAATGAATAGACATCTTGTACCCATGCATTTAAAGCAAAGCAAACCACAAATCTACTGTATATTCTACCAGTTGTACCAAACCGTAAATGCAATGCGGGGTTAGTTTCAAAATGATCCCAACTGATCCATAATGGTACAAAGAAAAGCACACCAAAATTTCAACTATCAAAAGAATGACTATTTAATGTAATTTGAAAGGAATTAAAGCATAATTACGGGCAGGGAGGGACATTTACTTCACACAGTTTATGCTTACACAATTCAGTCTCCTGCATGGGCATACTGAGTCTCAGTGACTGCAGTGCATCACCCGTGTGACCTGTGAGCTCAGTACTATCTCCCTCAGACTTCTCTAGCGTCATGGATGGGAAAACGGCCACACCTGGAGAGGGCTCTTGACTGGAGTTGACCGGGGAACTGGTACTCTGAGGAGGAGCTGTAGGAGGCACAGGGCCATTCATATGGACACCACAGCCCTCGGCCAGTCTGTCTCCATTTGGCATTGCATCTGAACTGACAGGACCTGAAAGCAAAGAGAGAAGAGAGAGCCCTAAGGAGCGAACTCAACATCAAAGTGAAAATGTTAATCAACTGGGCAAACAGGCTGGACAACCTTAGTAAGAGGATTTGAAAATGTGAAAAGAAGGTGATAAGACTAAAAACTAAGGGAATAACATAAATGAAAGCCATGTGATACTTAATATGATAACTTTGTAAAATATTAAATGGTGTATTTTGTAGCGTTAGCTTTAAACCACCAGCATTACAATAACAAACATTCAAAATATGTAAGTCAGTTAATGTAAACTGTCACATTTTTATTTAGCAGTTTTTAATAGTTCAGTGCTAAATAGTAGACAAGAATGATACTGATATTTTGACAGAATTACATACACATTTGCTTAAAGTTTACAAAAGGGTAATAGCCAATAAGCACTCACCATTAGGCAGATTCCCATTGGGGGTTTTCCCTTGTTCTGGTTGAATAAATTGTGATTTTGTTTCAGCGTCTGTCTGATCCATAGCTTGCGGTTCAGAAATGACATTGCTCTTTAGATTCAGTTCTTCATATTTGTCTGTCTTCACTGTTTCCATGGTTTCCATTGGTAAAATCCTGCCAGTGACTCTTTGGAAAGAAACTCTCACAGAGGCATCTCAGTGGGTGGGTCAGCTGTGGGCAGGACGTCTGTCAAAGGAAAAAAAAAAAAAAACATGTTTCTTCACTGTGTTCAATTATTCCTGCGCCTTACATCAACCTTCTATCCTGCTAACTGACATGTCCGCTCCATGTGACTTATGAAAAGCCTGCTTGGTATAATATATGGAGTAAGCAAGTGTAAAAGGTTTAAAAGCTGAGGGGAAGTGAATATAGGCGTGGTCATTTATTTGAAGAGAAATGCTTGTTTATCATATAAATCAACTAAACAGGCAACGTGGCGTTGCAATGTATTTTGGTCTCTTCGAGCTTTAAAAAAGGAGAGATCAGTGCGGCATTTGCGATGACACAAAACTGCTGATGAGTCCTACTAGTCTGCAGTGTCTAGTAACCGTGCAAACAAACGTCTGCATGTTGACAGTCGTAGCAATGAGATACAGCTAACTAACTATAAAGATTATTTTATAGTCTCATTGGTATTTGGTGGAGACTACGAACGATGAATTCTAACATTTTAATGATATAACATGATCATCTTAACTACACAATTGTAGCAGACGCATGGAAATGTAGGGAGCAAGATATTTATGAAGGCTGCATTATGAGGACACATTATTTTCTTTTTTATGCACTTTAATGCTCTGTGATGTTAGCTTGACAGCTAGCTACGAATGTTTACGATGATCCTGTGTTAGCTTAACGTGCTAGGTTACCAGCTTTAATCGCACAAATCCCTGCAAATCTCCGTCCTACCAACTAAATAAAGACAGAATGTGAGTCTATTGAAACGGATTCCAATGATCATGTGCAATGCTAAGCATGACAGACGTGTTAGACGTTTTAAAACACAATTTAACTAACCTTTGACGAGCTTCGCCTTTTACTACGTGGCTGTTTAGGTTCCGGTTCTTTTTACTGTCCGATGGGAAACGGGTTTCTCACAGGGTTCCATATAATCTCCGCATACTATTGCGTTTATTTCAAAGTGTAATGTGGTCAAATATTTGTAATAGTCTATAGCTAGTTGAAATGACAGCACAGTTCAGCTGAGGATAATTTGGGAATATGTTGCCAACAAGAAAGTATATTTTATATAATTCAATGTTTAGATATATTAAATACATTTCTTTAAAATATATATATATATTTCATATTTATATTTTGAACATTTTAAAAGTAAATTTTTATTGATAGAAATAACATCAGCTCTACATCTCCATCTAATCCCCATGATCTGATCTCGGTGAATGACTTCACTTAATTTGTGTTAAATTTAGAGTCTTGTACCATCTACTGGAACTGTTAAGAATTACACTGACACAGATGTACAGGCCTTAAATGTGTAGCTGCTACTTTATAAGTAGGAGACGTACGCTACCTGTATGTGCCTTATCGTGAAACACTATTTAAAAAAATATATATATAATTTACATACATACACTAACCCGTCACATTTATGTGTAGGGCTCTATATTTTTTTTTTGTTGTTTAACAAAAACTTTACCTTTTTAGGTATTTTTGTTATGACAATTATAGATTTAGCCTTTTTAGCATCTAAACTTTTTCTGTGTACAATAGCAGCAAAAGTTTTCCAATGCCTATAGGATAAGAGGGGGACTCCCACAGGAAACAAATAGACTTAACTTTATCGTGCCAAGGTGACCCAAAGCAAGAAAAATATTTATTTATTTTGCCACTGCAGTGCACAAACAGCAGCCTACTCAAAAATACAATGTTGTCGTGTAGACATGAAGACTAGGATATCATCAGCCTCTGCTAATTTCTTGGAATTCGTCCTTCTGTAGAAAAAACAAAACAAAACAAAACATTCCAACACAATTTAGCTACATCTTAAAAAAAAAAAAAAAAAAAAAAAAAAAAAAAAAAAAAAGGTCTTTTAGAGGCAATCCTCAAGCCTTGCCATGTGTTAAGCTCTCCAATTGTGGTGGAGGCTGAATGTAAACTATAGGAGGGGTTCACTGGGGCTGTTTGCGAGTTCACGCATGAACGATGGAAGCGCGCTCCCGATACTTCAGGTGAATGAGAGGGAAGAAGAGGAGCTTGACACGGTTCACTGTACTTCGCACCAAAACGGAACAATTAGTGGAAAATGAGTAGTGTTGCGTCGCTCGGGGCGCCTGCTTTTATGACAACATACCTACTCTTCGTGGTGGGATGCGTCGCGCAGAAAGTAAGTTGATTATATTTTATTGGCTGCAAATAAAAGATTCACGCTTCACCTCTAGCCTTGTGGAGTTTCGAGCACACTTCTCCAAAACACGTTTGCTTCCTAACAGATACCGAATGCGCTCTAAAATCTAGACCTTTAGGAGTTGTTTTTGTCGCGCATTTACGCAATGTATGCTTGTTAACTTCAGAGAGTTGTTTAAAACCCATGTCAGATCTTTATGCGATTGATGTCATGTGTACGCGGCCAGTGTTTTGTCATTCCACTTTGTTGACGTTTTTGGGTCGTTTTCTTGCATACAAAGATGATTATTGTAGTGGCATGGATTTTAACGCAAATGTGCTCCACTCCATCCATGTTTTTCATTTCCTGGGACTAGATTTCATGTTAAATTTAATTTCGTTAACATTCATGCCGAATTCAGAATACATTTTTTTAAATTTTCCACAATAACCAATAACTTTTCACTATTTTAGTGAAGTATACTTTCAATTAAATAAATAAACTGTATTATTAACTGAGTTTTGCGTTCAGTTGTTTGTTAACCCCCATAGACAGACATATTGTTTGGTTGTACAATTTTGCCTTTGATCTTCTATACAATAAATGTTGTGCCTAACAACGCAGTGTAAATGTATTTCTGTAACATTTTGTGCACGTTTTGCACACTTCTTACAGTCTGACGCAATATGCGTTCAAAGAGATGTTTTGATGGCACAGGCATGTTTTGATGTTACTGCACTTCAGAGTTAGAGAATGGCATGCAGAGTCCAAACTAGTGAAATGAGAACCACATTGGGAGCATGTTAACCTTATGTTGAGCTTTTATACTCACAGAGGAGTATTCCGAAGCTCTGGCCTCTGACAACCCAGAGGTTCCTGATCAAAAGTTGGCTCTGATGAACAAGAACACAAACATACACAGGGTTGATCTGTGGGACATGTTTTCCATTGATTTGGCTTGTCACCTCTGTCTGTTTTGTGATTTGTGTTTTATCTTCTTGAGTTGGAAGTTTTTGTCATGTTAATAAGAGACTTGCAGCTGTCACAAAAACTTAGGCATATATTAAATTATGTGTAGAACTAGAGAATACATTTTTTCACATCCAAAAACAACTTAAGTTATTCCAGTGAAGTATTCAAGTATACAAATTAAAGAACTAAACTATGAACAACTGTACAGTCTGAGCAATATCTGTGTTTGTAAAAATGTTTTTACTCCTTACTAGGTAAATAAACAAGAGTTAGATTGAAATTGGACAAAATAAATATTGCATAAGCTTCCCGTTAAAATGTTATATTAAATGCATGGCTAGTGAATGCATCTTCAGCCAGAAAAGGCTGGTGTCATAAAGGCTGGTGTCATAGCATTACTTAGTGAAGGTCTCCCCTGTGACATCAAACCACATTGTCAAAAGCACATTTCCATCCCTGTAGAAGCTCTGCGGCTTTAACCTGTCACAAATCGTCCCCTTCCACCGATGGAGAATGATGCCTCAGCAGCACAGTTCTTAGAAAGAGACAACAAAAGATCTTAATATATTGAATCGTCAGCATCTCCAGTCTTAGTTCCTGTGTGCATAGGGTGTTCACTATCTGTGCAATTATATGCCTCAGGGGGCATGGTAAATGATTGCTTTGTCCTCTTCTCCTCTTTTGTATTAAGTTGATTTTTGGAACAGCATAAACAAGTTCGGAATTTATTCTATCCCCTTTTCAAGCCATCCAAGTTTATCAGTTCACAATTGACAGACAGGCAATTTGGATCATTGTTGTGTTATTCTGGTTTGTATTTTGGATGATATGATGACAGGGACAGTTATCTCTAATTGAATTGAACATTAGAATCCCACTGAACTCTTGTGCATTATTGAACTAATGTGAATTATCTGAATGCATACAGTGACACTATTAATAATAATAATAATAATACTATTATTATGAGTTACAGTTGTACTTATTTACAGAGAAATTCATTGTTTTCTTAGGTATTGCATATATATCTGTATTTTTTACATAAGTGAAAAAAAATTGTAAATACAAATACATCGGCAAAGCTTGCAAAAAAGTAGCTGGCGTAGTTCACTTATCTACATAGCTATAACCAGAAATCCATGCCTATACTGTAAATGTTAATAAAAGTATATTATATTTTGGTGTCCTCTTTTAAAGAATATGCTATATCAAAATCATAGATCAATATTTGTGTGAAAAAAAAGGTTGTATCCACTGTCACACTGATTTAACTACACTTTCTTGTCATTACTGTACAGCCTTACAGAACTGGGCTTCTCACTGAGGTGCTGCCGAGAAACTAATTATCACAGATACGTTCACAGCAACACATTCCAAAATCTGGGAATAATTTCTCTAAACTAGTTTCCACCACTGTGGAGATAAGGTCACGATTCACCACAGGGACCCGCTAGCTCTGTGTAACAGTAAGCACAGTGGCAGAGAAAGGCTTTACATCACACACATACAATTATAAAGCTCAAATCTGTCTCTGTCCGTCTCTGTCCGGGTGCTCCCCAGGCTTCTCAGTTAACCCCTCAGTTTAATGTGGCCTACAGTTAACGTATTATTTGGGTCTGTCAAAATAATTACATATATATATATATATATATATATATATATATATATATATATATATATATATATATACATACACATATACACATATATATATATATATATATATAAATACATTTTAGATGGAACTGTATTTTTGCAATGTTTCTTTTTGTTGTGAGGAAATGGTTATAACTGTTTGTAGTACAAGTAGTCATAAGTATGCTCAAAGCCACTTTTCATGAACTATGAAGAATATGCTGAGACAGCATAATAGTCACTAGCCCGTGTGCTTAATCAAGCCATGCACCGGTTGTTTATAAATGACCTGAATATGCAGTGTCCAACATGAGCCAGTTAGAGAGGGCTGACATCACACAGGAGATATGTGATAAATCTGAGGCTCAGATATCAGTGCTGTCCACAGCTGTGAGAGTGACCTCAGGAAGCCCCTTTTCAGCCTCCAATTTGGGATTTCATTCAAGCAGTTGTCCTGCACACAATTTTATTTTCCCTGTGAATGTAGCAATTGTTATTGTCAAAATGAAATGAGAGGCATAATTGCACCCAATACTTGTTGTTTCAGATTATTGTTGTTATTGTTTATCATTTTGCAGAAGCCGAAGAGTTGAGTAAACTTGGAACCGTGCTCCCAGGGCAGCCGTGTGGACTCTGTGCGGTTGGAACTGGACTGGTGTGAGCCTGTGAAGTAGTGTCACTTTTCTCCTCAGTAAACAGGGCTGGGAGGATTCCTGCCCCTTTCTGAGGGGCCCGCCTGCCTCTTTATGAGCCTTTCCGGACTGTTTTTGCATGAGAGCACTATGCTGTTTGTGTGTTAACAGTAATTCAGTTGGAGGCAGCTCATGTTGCTGGGCTTTTCACAATCGTATTGTTGGCTTCATTTAATAGATACACGTTTTAACATACTGACCAACTAAACCTAATTTACAGAATAATAGTTATGATTCTGTTGAAGCCCCAACCCCTGCATGGCTTTCTAATGGCTATTTGTGATTTATGCAATTTTCATATTTTTGTATTTCATTTGGATTACTGATTTATTTTTGTCTTCACTTATATAACATATTTTGTACCATATGGTCATTTTCTGAAGCAGAATGTAAAAGTTAAAACAATAGTGTTTACTGCATTTGTTTGCTGTTTGACTGAACAAGTCATTTTTAAACAATGATGCACTCAGTTGATCCACTTCTGTTCAGAAAGGCTTCTGTCAATAACACAACTGGGGCACCAAGTCTTATGTAAACTATGAGCTTGCCCCATTACAAATATCATCTGCACAAACCACACTCAGGCCCATTGTTTTGTCATGAGAAAAGGCATCCTTGAATAATTAGCGTGTGGCCAGTGAGCGGCCTGTGATGTAACTGAATGGAGATGTTTGGCATTATAAGAATGTCCCATTTCCATTGGACATTGTGGCACAGTGGAGCCTTTTCATGTGTAGTGTAGTATGCACATCCACATCCACAGTGCTGTGGTATTTCTTCTGATTATTATTGGTATCTCTACTGTTCATGAAGCCATTGTCTTATATGTAGTATACATTTACAGTAATGGTTTGATCTTTATCTGATTTTGCATATTTACACTACAATAGCTTAATAATAAATTGTGTGTCTAAATTATTATAAATTATTATAGAAGAATCTGTCTCCCATATGCACGTGCTCTCTCCATCACTTGTGCTTGAGTCGGGACACAATGTCCTTTTCGAGCCCCTGTCATGGCCCACATGGTAAAGGGGTTCCTGCATTGCGCAACATTTGCAGCAAACACTATGAAGTGAACCCCCAATCAGTTACTCGCCCCATCCTCTGCTGAAGTGGCAAAGATATATCCCATATCTATATCTAATTTCAAAATTATTTTGTCTTTAAAATTAGACTCTGTTTCATTGAATATGTTGATATGAAAAAAGAAATACAATTACCATGGGCCCAAGTTAAAGAGAACATGAAAATAAAACAGAGATATATTGTGACTCAAAGAGCTTGACAGCTGTCTTCAGAGAGTCTTAGCTGAAGACAGAAATTTCCAGAAAAGGAGCATTGTCCTTTATTTAAAAAAAATCACCATCTGGTCTTTGAAGTATAAATTTGACCCCTCAAAGTGCCTTAAAGGAGAACAAAAGAAGTTTATTTCAAAAATGCAGAATGGGCACTTTGTGTTTCTGCTTTTGTTTTGGGTTAGTGAAACATGTTTCAACCCAGGTGGTGGAAGTCTACAGATCTACAATATTTGTATTTGTGCAGCCATAATATTTTTCTTCGGTCTGCTTGTTTACTAGCCCCATACCACCCAGCAGGACCCAAGCATAGTAGCTTTTCCATGATTCCTCAGCCCTAATGCCCTGCTCTTGTCTGGGCCCAGATGAGTGTAATAAGCAATGGACCTGGCTGTGACCTCGTCAGCTGTATCAGCCCTGGAGGGAAGCTCATGCCTCCGGGCTTAGTCAGTGGTACTCTCTCAACTCATGAATGAATATCTGGAAGTGGATGCTGTACATATAGAGCAAGAGAATGTTTTTTTAAAAGAATGTGTTTAGTTTGAGATTTATGATTTATGGAGCTATCAAAGGACATGTCTGAGTTTAAAGACCCTTTTGTCCCTGATGGCTTTGTGTCTTTCCACAATATTACATTTTGTTATGATTTTAGGCAGGGCGAGGGTCCAGTCTATGTCCTGGGGTGTTACCATGTTACCTGTCCTTCACGGGGATATTGAGTTCAGTCCAAGCGCTGCAGCCAGGAAAGCTCATAAACACACAGCCCCCCTACAATGGTCTGGTCTGAACCGCCCGGCCAGCTACACATCTGCCTCTACTTATGCCCCAGGTCTGCTGCCTCTCCATGCACCTGGGACGCATTATACCCAGCATGTTTGAAGAAATGCCCCCGCCAAAGGTTATTCAAAAAGGCAGCAACACAAGCTGTGTATCTAGCTTGAACAAGACATCGTTTCCCATGATAAAGAAAGGACATATATTAAAGGTGGCAGATACCTCAAAAAATGCAGAATATTGCATTTGTTGTTTTAAATACTGAGAATATAAAAATAAATAAAATAGTTATACATGACATTAAGATGAGACCAATACATCAGTGTGCAACATTCTATGCAAGTGGAAGAGATATTTCAATCCTTTTGTGTTTAATTTAATGGTCCATTTCCTTTTTGTGCTTGAATCACAACCATTTGTTTTCTCCAGTTATTTTTGTGAATATATTGCCCATCACTACAGTGTATCTAGGAGCTTTCTATAGCACAACTCCTTAACTGAAACAAAATGATCGTGTACGAAAAACATAGGTCAAGAAAAGTGTCAAAACAGAAGCTATTTTCTGATATTTTCTATGTTATAATGTTGTTTCCTCATCAAAAACTCATTCACACGTTTAACAAACAAACTCTACATATTTAGGCCAAGTTCTTCTCTCAAACAGAAAACACTCCATGTTGTGATGTCATGTGGTCATCCAGGAAGTGCTCCATTATTTTAGTCTTCACTAGAATCATTTTAATGCTTTCAGTCCTGGAATTGCCAACCTACTGAACAAAAGATAAAAGCTGGTTGTTAACTTGAAAACTACAACTACATGACATCACAAGGTGGAACAGAGCATTTTGAGCTTTGGAGATGTGGACTGACTAATAATAAAAGATTACTCAAACAAGTATGATTAAAAAGGATTGTTTTTGATGAGCTAACAACATTCAAACATGGATTAAAGAATATAGGGCCTTTTAAATAAAATATGCAAATTAAGAAATCCATCATAATGACAACCAAACAAGAAAGCAAGAAAAATCCTACTTGAACTGAAGCAAAACGCACAACAATGAGATTTGTAAGGAGACCCAGGCAACATTACTCTGCCAGAGAAATGCCATACAAAGGTCACCCACAATGCAGCAATACAAACTCTGAGGTCATGTGATCCATAACCAGATAACTCTGTAACTTAATACCATCAACAATGCTCCGGATACGAGTGCTTGTGTGATGCCTTGCCTGTGCCATTGTAAATCCATGCATCAGTGGGTGTTTGCTAGCCTCTAACTTAAAGCTCGTGATGATACAGGAAGCTCGGATTTCAAAGTTGCGACATGTTTAACTTGATGTATTGTTGTTACAGGTGTATTTTGACTGTGGTGCCAAGGTGGATGTGGTAGATGCCCAAGGCCTTATTCTTTCACCTGGATTCCCATACAACTACTCCTCTGGGACTCATTGTGTTTGGCAGTTCTTTGTGCCCGTTGACTACCAGCTTGTTCTGGAGATATTTGACTTTGACGTATTTGAAAGCCATGATGCTGCCAGTCAGTACACGAATATGGCTAATTTTGATGAGGAAGATACAGATGAAGAAGTGATGTTTAGCCAAGGGAGCTCATTCGCGGATGAAACGTCAAAAGAGGTGATGCAACAACGTGAAAGGGATGTCACTAAGAATCAGCAGCTTTTCCGAGGTGAACAAGTCAAGCAGGTAGTTGTCCAAGAGCAGTCTACTAAAATGGAGCTCACGAAAGTTTCAAATTCTGCCAAAAGATCTACTGATTTAAGTTCAAACTCTGCACCCCCACCATCTCTTGTTGTAATACCTGATAGTCTATCTCCTAACAGCAAACCCTCAAACGCTCCAGTGACAACAATGGAAACTACAACAATTTTATCAACCCTTTTCACCGAAACTTCATCCATCACTCCAGAAACACAGCAGTCCATCCTGGATGCTTGCCCCCACGATGTCTTGTACATTTCGGATCTTATTACTTTCTCCTCTCGGTTCTGTGGCTCAAACAGGCCTCCGAGCAGCCAGTTGGTTTTCGGCTCAAATCAGGAAATGGTGGAAGTTATTATGGAGTTGATCACAACAACGCACTGGGGTCGTGGTTTTGCTCTGCTCTTTCATTATCACAACCGGACGGAACCAGCGGGCACGAGGAGGAATGTGGCGTTCGCATCCAACAAGGTGGACTCTATGCTGGCTGCTGTGAGCGGAGCGGCGTTCCTGGCTATGATCCTGACCAGTGCCCTTTGCATCATATTCAGGTGAGTAGGTTTATTTGGGTGTAGTTGTGAAAAATGGGTCTGATGATATAGTTTGAGAAATTTAATTTAAATGATTATTTTCCTATGTGTTTGTATAGCTTTTTTAGTTTGGCCTTAAATGGAGGTAGAGGGCAGTGAGCAGACTGTTTATACAATATGCAGAGAGCTCCAGTCTGGCTGCTAGGCTTACTTATGTTTATAATGACTGAGCTATATGTCATGTCATCTTCACCATGTTTTATTTTTGTATTATTTTGACATAACTTAATACAGCTCATACCATTTGCAAATACTTTAAACTTCTTATGAAATGTTTATGCTGTTGTCAAATACAGACTAAGATAAAAGTATTCTTTTTCATTTTTTTGTTTTTTGGAGTGTATTTAATGCATTGCAAATGCATAATGCAAAAACTTACAAAAGCTTGATCTGCTCAAACCTAACTCATATTCAGCACTTTGAGAGACTTTGACTTCTGTTTGTTTTCATGGAAATGTTGTTCTTTTTGGCTATAATATCCACAGTATGGCATAAAATATGTCTGCATGAAAAATTAAGTGTGACTTTACCAGCATTCCATGGAAATAAAAAAAGTAATGTGCCACAACCAGAAATGATGATGTTGATACTGTACCTTTTAATATTTTAGTTTTACAGTCAATAAAACTGATTAAGAGTATGTTTTATATAGTACATAATCAGTTCTTGGACCACAAGGAAGTAGGCCTATACCATTTAAGGCCCATAGTTTCTGGTTGTAGACATAGTTGATCCACATCCCCATCACTGCAAATGGTAGTGATGCAGTAATGTAGCTAAGTTTAACATTTTGCCTGTTAACCGTCCACGTTAAGTGAGTGTACAGTAAATATTCCCTGTGAATGACTCTAAATGCCCACATTAGTGTCCACATGCGTGTCAACATTCACCCCTCTGTGATGTTGACACAGCTGGAGGCCTCTGCTCTTGAAGTGGTCACCCTCCATGGTGACTTGGGCTTGGCTGTGACCACCAGGCTTCCTTCATGTGGCCTGTTCTCACCAAAGACAGTGGGGCATTCAAGGTGCGGCAGCTGGCATTGATTCTACACAAAATACAAGCCTGGACAGAGCATAGATCAGTCTGTGAGATGGGTTCTTTAGACTACTGGCTCTGGTCTTAACATGATTCACATAAAAGCGATGTAAAGCACAAGGACAGAACATGTTTTTGTAATATTGTCCTAATAAATAACATGAAGACACCTCTAGATGTAAACCCACAGCTTTTTTCAGTTTTATTATAAATGTCCATATGTTGGGTCTTGAGCATCTGCTTGTACCTGCTGTTGATTTGCAACTGGTGAACATACATATAAACTTAAAAGAACTGCATCCTTAATATCCACTATTATTAGTGCACTTATTATAGATCTTGGGATGGAATGTCAACAAATGTCCTTTACCATGGAAATCCACCATGTTTGTGATGGTGGTGCAAAATGTCCAAAGAGATACATTTACTGTGAGAATACTTTTGATGAAGTCTGTATTTAACATCTCCAGGTTTAACATTAAGCTTAATGAAAATTCTATGAGCTCTGTTGAGGACTATGAAACATACAAATAACTGTTTACAATAACTGAAATGTGATGCTTACAAATAATAATGAATGACTGATTGTGTAGAAGAAAAAAAAGAATGTTTCACCAATATATATATATATATATATATATATATATATATATATATATATATATATATATATATATATATATATATATATATATATATATATATATATATATATATATATATATATATATATATATATATATATATATATATATATATATATATATATATATATATATATATATATATATATATATATATATATATATATATATATATATATATATATATATATATATATATATATATATATATATATATATTAGAGATAGATATATTTGCTATTTTCTGAAGACCTACCAATAAACTAAATTCTAGTAAATTCATAGATCCAATACACAGTTGTGCATTTTATTTTACATTACATTTTTAATAAACCTTCCTTTTGAACCAGAAAAGTAAGCAGCCCAAATAGACGTATCATTAAAAAGCGCATTGAGTTTGTGACAGGCTGTGTTCCTCATGCTGTGGGAACCACCACAGTTTATTATGATTTGTGTTAATTTCCATCGCAGCTCAGTGTCTCCAGCCAATCCGACAGGCACAATAACTCCACGGGTTCTCACTCTTAATGACGGGGAAATTGGAAGCATGTGTTCAATAAAACGAAAGTGCAATTGGCAAGAACAACAACACAAGTCATTTGGAAGCCAGGAAACGCATTACCATGAAACGTCAAACCTTGGAAAAGTCTTTGTACTTTTTTCTCTTTACATATTAATTTAGTTCACTGAAAACATTGAGAAACAACTGAGTGGGTAAACTAGAGCAAACTTTTCCAGTAAGACCCTACAGTGAGATTAACTTCCACATTCAGTACGATCCAAAAATCTGCCAAAGGTGGCTAGGAGTCGCAGCGGGGGATGCCCTCATTTGACCGATAGCTTGTTATGAACTCATTCATGTAAGATTAATGTTTTAATAAGTGAGTATTTCAAGTATATTAACATGCTTCATTGAGTCATATAACTTAATCTGACAAGATGAAAATGCATGGATGAGCAGATATTATAGAATGAAAAATTATAGGATTTATTAACATCAATTAATCTGCCTTCTGTTGAAATTTGAAACTGTTTTTCGTATTACTGCCCATTTGAAGCCTAATAACCTGAACAATGGACACGCACTTAACAGAATTTGAAATTACAGATTCCATTTACAGGGAAATAAACACGGGCTGAATAGAAACCACAATGTTAGACCATGTAGTTGTGGTGTAAGTGTGAATTGTGTGTGAAGGTTCTTGTCTCCAAATAATCCAATGGGTCTTTTTTAAAGAGGAGAATGACCACTGGTATTTTGGACTTCTGTACTATTCCTGATCTTGTGGTTTTTTTCAATGAATCAAATTTCAGTGTAGTCATTGAGTTAGCCATGCATTTATTCATTCCCTGAAGCTGAGTCTGCATTAGTTAAATTGCACTGTAAAGAAATGGTAAAGAAGTAATTATTGGCAGTTTGCCAGGGAGCAGATTGTTTGTGTGGAGAATTTACATCCTTGAAATGAGATGGGAAATGAAAATATTTAAAAATTGGTTTGACTCATTTTGTACAATATAATAACTTATATTTACTTATATACTTATATTTTTTAAGCATTGAAAATTATGGCATACACTGAAGTAGAGTTACGTGCTTATTTGATTTGTTGGCAAAATGTCCAATGTTGTCTTTAATTGCTCTCTAATTTGATGGGGGGGGGGTTGTTTGTGTTTTTTTTCTTTTGCAGACCCAAATTGTGTCCAAAAAGAGCCAATTCCAGTACATCTAACAGCCCTGAGGTAAAAAGACTTCTTCTACTAAGTTTGTGAAGCATACCTCTGTATTTCCTTTTACTTTGCCACTCTTTGTTCTTGCTTTTGTAGAGCCGTCTTTCTCATCTATTCACCTACTTACTCACTTTTAGGGTCACGTGAATGAACACACTATACTGTAGTAGAGTAGAACAGGTTGATCAAGATGTGAGGTTAACTAGGTGAAAACTCATGTCACAGTTTGTACTTCCAGTTTATAACCTGTTTATTTAGTCAAGCGCATGATTTAACATGTACCTAGTATTATATGATTAGGGATAACTATTGTCTTTATCATATTGTTTTGGACAATCCCACTGTGGATAGATATTGTCCAAGGATGTGATGTTATTAGTCAGCATAATATTATTTCTGACCATATGTGGCTAGGGTTTACAAAAAGCAGGAGTGGAAGTAACAATTTACAAATACAAATTTTATTGTAAATATAAAATACCGATCTAAAATGCTACAAAAAAATCTGTTAAAAAGTAACTCTTATTCAGAGTAGTATTTTTTTACATTACATTACATTAGTACAGGTTTTGTATTTGATGACAATATGGATACTAAGTCATTATTAAGTTACTTTTTTGGGAAAAAGTCTGATTTAAAGGTGCATTGTGTAACTTTTCTGGTGGAGTGTCCATCATATATTTTTTCATAGGGAATGTCTGGAATGTTTCACAGTATGGCATTTGCCTTTCTATCTTCAAGGAGACCAAACCAGACCAAGTTACAGGTCAGATCTGTGGAGAGGCAGACGCTCACTGTCAGAATCAGTTTTTCTAGGTATTTTTGAGCAATAAAACCACCTGTGAAAAAACTGTAACTGAATAATGTAAACTAGAGCTGTTTAATTTCATATTGTGGAACAGTCTAAGCAGAACAATGACATATCCCTTGAACCAAGAATGTAACGGACCCCCAACTGAAAAGTTACACAGTGCACCTTTAAGTTGGTTTAAACTACTGCAAGCAGTGACATTTCTTTTAAAACTAATTAGTAAGTGTTAGTGAATAAATACTAACCTTCACCAACCCAGTTTACTGTGCCTGTAAATATCTTTAGTATATTTTATTTTGAAGGTACCAGAGGGAGTCCCTAACGTTGTGTCTGAGGTGAGTGAACTGCAGCTGATCACAGAGAATCAGACCAACCTGGAGACCACCAGAGCACAAAAAAACAAGAAGGACACCTCACCACACACAGGTGCATAACACACAATGTACAAATAATAGAGAACTACTTTTGATAACATAATCTATTGCCATTTGTTTTACCAAAAGGACCGAATTTTACCCAGTGGTCTGTTTTTAGCAGCAGTTGACTCAAGTTTGCTGCTTCACTACAAATACAAATACTAGAGCAAAATATACTCAAGTACAAGTAAAAATATCACATGAAAAAAAATCTACTTAAGTAAAAGTATTAAAGTAAAAATATTTTATGCAGATTTTGAGATCTTGTATGGCTTAAAAAGCAGTGATTTTAAAAAAGTAACCCCTTGGTCTCAGATTATAATAAAAAATACTTTTACTTTTCAGTCCTGTTTAAAAATGTAGTGGAGTAAAAAGTACAGATACCTGCTCTCAAATGTAGTGAAGTAAAAGTAAAAAAAAGTATCCACATTAAAATGTACTTAAGTAAAATAGAAATACCTAAAATGTTTACTTAAGTACTTTTACTTTGTTACATTCCACCACTGGTTTTTAGATAGTTTTATTTTTTTTAATTTTATACACAGGTATTTTTTTCTTTTTCGGAAAGGCTAAGGGAGTATTAAATTCTTCTAAGGGGGTTCTCACATAACATAGTATTTAGAGATTTTTTTATTTGGGAATCTAGATTACCCACGCAAACGTCTCAGCAAAAGGCTCAACTTATTATTATTGGACATCCTGTATAATCCATCAAATGTGTTCATAGATGAAAAACCATTATCCCTTTTGCTTTGACTCTTTGTGCAGTCAATGCGGGTGGAGACCTGTCCCAGAGCACAGAGGTGGATCTTTCCAGTGGTCTGACAGAGCTCGAACTTGGACCAGACGAAGTGTTCCTCACATCTCCAGCACTCAGCGCCGTCAGCGGCCGTCTCCCACTCACTCCATATACAGTAAGAAGTCTGCTTTTGTCATAATCAATATCAACAATATTTATCTGGAAATCCACACAGGTATACACATTAGGAATGTCAAAAGTATTGAAAATCAGAGCAGATACTACTCAATACTGAAACTAAATTGTTTTATAGTTTAGTATAAACAGGCACTCATTTAAGCAAGTATCGATACTAACACAGCCACATTTCACAGGACAAAAATTTACCTTTCTTGGATAGCTTTAAAATGATCTTGAGCTGTATCAGAACAAGTATAAACCCACATACTGTAGATGGACCACTATGGAACCTACCTGGCCGACTGAGGCATTATACAGATATGAGACTGAATGGTAATATAAAAGAAAGTATTGCTATATAATCACAATCTATTGTGTGTTATCTTTGTGGTATTGGATTCAGTATTGAGTATCAAGTCTATTCCTTAGTACTGAGTTTAAATTTTTATTATCGTGACAGATACACATGGCTTTTTACTCTAGCCAACTCATGTGAATGCCACAGAAATGTAGGAATGTAATGGCACATTGTAAGGCACAAAGCACTAAGTTCTCCATGGAGATAAGCATTTGGTAGACACCTTTAAAAAAAATTGCATTGTGCACCTATAAATCAGACAGTACACCATAAAATATTGTAACTGGAATAAGGAGGCATAAATGCATTTTGTTATTCCCATGTTTCCATGTTTCATGGTCTTTGTATTGGGTTATGGTTTGGGTTACATTTAAACATATTACCATGAAATAAATTAGAATGATGCACGTGTCCAGTAGTTACCATGTAATTGTCATAATTAGACTTTAGCAATTATACACCAATCTACACAGTGCACTAAATCATTGCAGAGACGAACAATTAAAGACATTATAGGCCATTAGACCTCAGTAACTATGTGTGACTCTTCATATTGAATTATTATATGGTCATTATATTTACGTCGCCATTGCAAAGTGTTGATGTTACAGACAGGACACATAGTTCTCATTGGGTGATCTTCCCACCCGCGAGAGATGGTCCCTCCTGAATATCTGAGGTGACAGCGCTTTGAATGGCTTGAATTGACCCAGTGTTCCTAATAGGCCTGACACCATTCTGCCAGCAAACGCGTGGTACAGACTGTAGCTATGAAATGTACGAGGACATAACTTGGAAACAGGGATAATTAAAAGATGGGAGGAAAGTTGGGGAGGAAGCGTCTCGACTAAGTATTTTCTCTGCTCTCTTTTGTATTCCCTCAGAGAGTTGGCATCAAACCGCTCTGGCAGCTTTTTGAAGGACTGGCAAGCGTTTGTGCTGCCTGGGCTAATGGAGAATTATCTACAGCGCCAGATTCCCAGCTCCAATTGTGCGTCTGTTTGTGTGTGTTATGCACACTTTGGCACTCACTGTGTGGTCTGCCTGTGTGTGTCCTCCATACAGACTTTCATGTACATAATTATTGACAAATGGGCTAATGGCGGGCAATAGCAATCAGAGGATCAAACATTTCAGCCAATCTTCATGTCTAAAACATGTTTGATAAGACATTGTTGCAATAGACCATTTTAAAGAGGCTTAATTTATGCCAGTGAGATTTCCAAATTAGAGGTTAAGATTAGAAAATTGTGAACAAAAGTGAAGAGTGACTATTCTTTGTGACACAACAGGACCACTGTTACTAAGAGCCGTGCTGGGTGGCTCATATCAAACTGCGTGTGTCCACTCTCAAAGTTGCCATTGTGCTTTTGGGCTTTAAATAACGAAAGGAACACTTTTATTTAAACCCCTTTTAATTCTTGTCTAGACAAAGTTAGCTGCTAGTGACTCTGTGAGGAGGATTATCTGGTTCTCACTCTCTCCGATGGGTGCAACCCCTAAAACCTTCGCCCTCCCTTTATCAGCTGCACGTCCCACCTGCCATGTACGATTAGTGCCAGAAGACTGTTAACCATTTCCTTACCTAGTGAAAATTCACACCTTTTGCCATAACCCAAACCAATGCCACTTTCAATTTCGGCCAATGTTGTTTATAGTTCCTTTAAAGGGCCCATACTATGTTATTTTCTGACCTATGTTATAATGCTGTTTCTTCATCATACCTGGAGTTGTGTTTTGTTTCAAACCCTGCATATTTAGGTTGAGTTCTTCTCTCAAACTGAAAACACTATTCCACTTTGTGATGTCATATGGTAATACATAAAGTGCTCTACTGTGTTTTTACATTCCATTCATCCTCACTAGAATCATTTGGACAATTCCAACCCTGGAACTGCCAATCTAAAGGTAAAAGGTAGCTGTTAACTTGAAAACTACTGTCACAAGGTGAAACAGAGCATTTTGAGCTTTGGAGATGTAGACAGGCTAATAATCAAGGGTTACTCCAACATTTGTGAATGAAACACAACAGAACCAACATACAAGCAACCAATGTTTCCTTTTCTTAAATACTTGACATACAAATTACTGAAGAAATTTGTTCTTCACACCTGCTCAGTTGGCTGACTGTTGAGCCAAAGCTAATCAGAACCGTTCCTTTTCATTAACCCATGAATTTACCACTTAACACAGTTTGCAATGAGATGTTTCAAAAGTCAGGTGAAAAATGTTTTTAAGACTAATTAAATGTATCAATACCACTAATGCTAGAGGTTTTGTAAATGTAAATATATGAATTACAGGGATTTAGCGTAATATATACTTGCATTTTTTTTGTCCATTATCAGAAATGCGTGCATGTTTCAATACAAGGCTGTTAGTCTATGCAGGTCAGTAACCATTGGAGCTGCAGTTGAGTGCCTGAGTATAATGGGAGCATAAATGCGCTGTAGCCATCTACATTTTAATTAGTTTGTTTTACCCTTTGTCTCTAAGCTTTGTTCCTATGTTAACATTGTGTTAGCTGAACATGGTTTTGCTTTTTGTCCCAGCTTTTTCTAGGGTTGCAGAGTTTGATGTATAGTTTTTATAAGTAAGTTTCTTTAGCCTTCAGTTGTAGTTAGTAGGGCTGGATATCATTAAGAAGTTTGCCAATACGATACATACTTCGATTCATAGGCCACAATACGATACATCTCAATACAGTGCACTTTCAGTTCAATACGATATATTTCAAATCAATTTGATTCAAAAATAAAAGCTAACTCATGGCTGTGAAACTACAAGTCTTTGTTAAATTTACTCTTTAAAACAGTGAAAATGTCAAATGTGTTACATAAATGAGTTTCCTCTAAACAAGCAACAAAACTGTAGTGCTGTAACAAAATCAATGAGTAAAATATACAAAAAAAATACTCTTGGTGATATATCAATACAGTCGTCCCCGATATGGATACTGTATCATCACATTAAATGATATGATATATCGATATTTCAATATTTTTGCACACCCCTAGTAGTTAGAGGTGAGCAATTTATATGAAAAAACACTGACTATACCAACATTGTTCTTTTGAAGTAATGCCAAGACTATCAAATGCCAAGTAGCCGATATTGCTCATAATAAAGACCCCAAACATATTTGTTAAAAGAAACATGCACTGTATCCCTTCTCATGTATGGTAGTTTTACTTTATTAACATCTGTGCATGATTTAAACCTCAACAAAGACAAAGAAATTGTGCATGTTTTAGTATATTTCTGATGAATTGCAAAAATATCTAGAAAACAGAGATTGATATATTCATAGTCACTAGTTCACCTAGTACAAGTCCAGGATTTTGACTTTAAAATGTAAAATGTCAGCCTACTTATTACAATTAGACCGAACATAGATGCTTCTCTTTGTTTAGAATTAGCCTATGCCTCAGTATGTTTTGTCTTTTTCGTCTTTAGCAGCGTGAGAGGTTTCTTCGCCTCAGTGACACCGGTCCGGGCCCTTCTGGAGACTGGCCCTCTCCAGACTCGTCTGGGACCAGGTCTAAATCTGGGAGCGGCTCCAGACCCAGAGCCTGGAGCGTACGCACCTTTCAGGACTTCCTGCCTCCTCTGCCACAACTGCACAAGAAGTGGTGCAGCTGGAACTCAACCAGTCCCTTTACAAAGCTGGTGGACACAGTCAGTATTACAGTCTTCACTTTTCATCTTTTAATAAACAGTATAATTTAGTGGAGTTATTAGCTAGTACTCTCTTTGTGCTAGTGATAAACCTAAATATGTATGCTTATCAGTGCATATTAGAAGGCAGGTCAGGCTGTGATGACCCCAAAAGCAAAGGACCATAAAATATGTTAACAAGTACGTTCAAACTGTACAAATCATTTCAACTACCAAAATCTATTAAAATCTGTGGTTGATAGAGGTAGGCCTGTGTTTTTCAGTACTATTTTGAGAAAGACATTGAATAGGCTACATTACATTTAGCAATGTTTTACCCTACCACTATAAAAATCCATGGCTTGGTAAATTTTATCCACACAGTACACTATTATGTGTGTAGCCTTCCTACGCCTGGAAAATTTGTATACCCAATCACAAGGAAGAAAAAAATGCTGTAGGAATCCCAGTAGGAAAATGTCAAAAGAAATTATTGATCACAAAAAGATATTTCTTGTCTCTTCCAACTTAGGCTACATCCAGCCTGGCTGCAGATGGCAGAGGAAACAATGGCCGGGAGGTATTTTCCGAAGTGAATTTGGCAAAAGGAGGCACGAGCACCATCTCTGACTCCTCCATTAGCAACGCCTCTTATCCTCTCACTCAACCCGCCCAAAGACAGCGCCGTCTCAACTCAACCAGCAACCTGCGGCGCTCCCGATTCACTGGCCCCTGTTTCGGCATGCTCTCTGGGACAACTGACCCAACAAAGGCTTCTACAGCTCAGGTTCCCACCTCTGAGCCTGTGCCTGGTTCTGTTTCATCCACCATAGAGAGCAGCCAGCCGGGGAAGAAGCGAGGGGAGATCCAAGCTGAAGGGGAGCATGTGAGTGTACAGGTTTTTGCCATTTCGGAAGAGGAAGACCGGCAGCCGTTGGTCCCAGCAGAGCACTTGGACCACCCAGCAGCCCCCCAAGCGCTGAATGGACTTGTGAGAGGGGTCTATGAGGGGAAAAGGTCAACTGGAGGTAGTCCCAAGAGCCAGAGGGCAAGAGGAGAGTGGAGGCCGTGGGGTAGCCAGGCATCGGGAGGGGTTATAGCAGGCTCCAAAACGCCCCACACGATTTGTGACAGCCAGGTGCCAATCAGCCCGTCAACAGCTCTGTGCAGTGTGGTCAATCAGATGTGACCAATTGAAGAATTTTATAAAGACTTGGACTTTGTGTTAGTTCCACTTAATGACATAATGGCTTAATTTCTTAAGTATATTTTCACCTGACTGTAGATTGTAGCTTGTTGGAAATACAGTACTGCGCAAGAGTTATTTTTGTTTTGTTTTTAAAGGTTGAGATCAAAATGAATCAATGTGAAGTTGTATAAAAGAAGGTGATATTTCACGCAAAAAGCCATAAATTGAATATATTAAGTAAGTGCCAAAAATATCATGATGTCTAACTGTAAAGAATCAAGTCATTGGTTCGGTTGAGTTGAGAGAGCATTCCTGACTAATATGTCAAAATCATAAAATCCTTATCCTGGATGAGGGACTACACAGACAGAAAATTCTTAAAAATGTGTGTCCTTTCTAATCACTAGATTTCTATTAAGCTGTATTTGAATGAGGAAAAGAATATGCCAAGGTCCTGACTGCCACTGTAGAGAATATGAAAATAGATTTTTTTTTTCCTACTGCCCAACGGTTAGCAGCATTTCAAAGTAAGACAGCAGCTATTGCACTTTGACGCTCAGTTATATCTTTGGATTTTGCTCACACCTTTTGTGGAACATATGTAGATTTGTACTTTAAATTACTGTGTTACGGAACAGTGTTACAGAATAGATTAAATAAATGTTACAGCCTTGTGTATATATATATATATATATATATATATATATATATATATATATATATATATATATATATATATATATATATATATATATATATATATATATATATATATATATATATATATATATATATATATATATATATATATATATATATATATATATATATATATATATATATATATATATATATATATATATATATATATATTATATATATATACGGACTGGATTGTAAAGGGAATTTAAGAGTGTTAAAAATGTTAAAAATGTAGATTATAGATGTAGAAATAGTATTTAAATGTACTGAATTATTGTAAATTTTTAATAAAGAAGACATTTCAAGGCCACAGATGTCTGTGTTCAAGAGTAACATTCATGGACTGTAATAGGTTTATAACCACTTTTCAAGGATTGGAGGCCTCTAGTCAATGGTGACCATCTTAGGGAATCTCCAAACTGCAGTGATTAGTGTATATAAAGACAAGGCACTGGTCAGGGATAATATGTATATAGTTTGAATTGTCCTTAAACTAGAGTATATAAGCAAGGCCGGGCCTGGTTAGTACTTGGATGGGAGACCACTGGGAAAATCAGGTGCCACAGTGGGGCGCCAGTGGGAATAACTGTCATTGTGTCCTTAGAGATGCTTCACCCATGTTGCCTAGTATGAAAGTGGTGTGTGCGTGAGTGAAGGTGGTGGTCGGAGGGGCCGATGGCTCTGATTGGCATGGCAGCCGCAATTCTGTCAGTCTGCCCCAGGGCAGCTGTGGCTACTATAGTAGCTTACGATCACCAGGTATAGAGTGAATGAATAATACTGAATAATGCCCTGTAAAGCGTCTTTGTGACAAAAATGTCTGTGAAAGCACTATATAAATACTTATTTACTTAGCTTATGTGCGCTCCAAGAAAGGAACAGTGCTGAACTGACAGGTGCCAACTGCTGACAGGTGGGGAATGTGGGAAGTAAGAGCTGACCAGTAAAGGGCAATAAAACTTACAAATGACTAACTGTACTGTAGTAATTGCTTCAAGTTAATGAAAATAGTTTCTGATAAAATTATAAACTTGATTTATTACCTAATTAATTTCTCACTATTCACTGTATTCAGGGCATTCTCAAGTGTTAGCCTACATCAGATCAGACAAGGAAAACGTTATGCAAGATATCAAGACACACAACTAGTAGTCAGTCACAGGCAAATATTTTATTTCTTTTATAAAGAGGGAAAAAAATGGGTAAATACATTTTTTTTTTGCAAAATCAAGTAAAAATAAGTCTGCATATTCCTAAACTACAACATAATCATCTGAACAATTTAATAGTGCATTGATTGAATAGTTTTCATGGCATCCATATTTTCACAGGATGCATACAATAAGAGTAAATATTTGCTTTAGTATACAACATGAACCCTATTCCCTCACGTTGGGGAGAATGCATAAAGCCTCTTTAGACCTGGTGCCTGATTGGAGCGGCGTGGGACTGTTGTTGGCTTATAGTGCCCAGACCTCCTGTAGGGAATCATTAAAACTGAGCCACTACATTGAGGGGATCGGCTCGGGCTTGTGCTCTGGACCTGAGCTGCTAAGGAATGCCACTGTGGACCCACTAAGATAGAATGGGAAAAACCTAGATTGAGCTTACACTGCAAATCTGTAATTCGACTACAACTTGAGACAGGGCAGTGAAGGGCCAGTTAGAAAGGACATCTTCAAGTTAACTCCTCAAAGTAATGTCTAATATACTAACAAAATACTATACATACTAAATTTCTAATAAAGATTTAATTTCTTATGTTATTGACCAAAAACAATAAAAAAAAGGTGGGTTTTCCTGCCGGTTTGCTACAAATCACTTGCAATTATTCCCATACCCTCTAACATTAAACAAAAATGTAATTTAAAAAAAAAAAAAAAATACTAAGATGAATAAAATAAGGAAATATATGACATTATGAAAATAATGCCAGCGTTTCAAGGCTGATCGTACATATTTCTTGTCTGACACTTGATGATAGTCTAAGTTGTATGTATGGCTCTTCAAAATGCATTTTTCTATGTCAAAGGACCAAATGATCAGTCCCACAAGTGTAAAATCAAGATATGGATGACAATTCTGCTAAAGAGTTATTACCTTTAAAAAGAGATGTGTAGCAGCATTCAAACAAGTCAATACTGTCAACTGATCCCCAGAGGCCACAGGGAGTCAGTGCTTTGCGTCACAACTGTGCCTACTTAACCATGAGTTTTCTGAGAAAGTGTTCCCTTAACACTTCTTTAATCACCTTGAAGATGATTATCCAGAGTAAAGAATATAACAGAGGCCCCATTCCCTCTTACAGCATTACCACACAGTGGTCCCCTTCCTGCAGACATGAAATCCTTTACAAACATCACATGGGATTATGAATCTACTTGAGTATGTATAGGCTTTGACATTGCTTTTTGCTCCTGCATGGGAACACAGTAATGCCCTGGAAAAACTAAGGAAACTGAAGATTTTTTTTCAGCAGGATCACATAACTGAAAAAAAAAGCTATCATGAAATCGAGACGTTTTAACTAAGACAGTAATTTTCAGTCTGAAGGAAATGGTCTGATAAACTAGAATTAATTGAGGATATACACTGACAAACTGAAAAAAGTGTTATTTAAAGAAACTTGCCTTAAAAAGAGCTGTACTGGTAGGCAGAAGAATCCGTTTTTTACACAATTTTTGACCCAGTGATGCACTCGCATCCCTACCAGTCCTCTAAGCACTTAATTTAAAGCACTGCATGTTCATTTGCATTTTTTATGCAAAAAGATAACATGAATGTTACTGCTTGTTCACCAATGAGGAATAATTATCATTTTAATTATAATAACACATCTATTGGAAAAAATAATCTTCCTACAATATCATATTAAAATATGATTAGCAATGCTCTTAGAATTATCCCAGAAAACCACCTGTATAGGCTATCAGATTTTAAGGATGAAGGACAAATTTTGATACAGTGTTTTAAAACTCTTAAAGGAGGTAGTTTTAGTCAAAACTGACGCTACCTGAACAAGGCTGATGTGCAGATGTTTAACAAATAAAGTTTACATTTTTGTGCGTAGAAATATTCTATACAACCCAATGTCAAATAAAACAATAGACATTCAAAGTGAGTTACAAATGAGCACTGATTGTAGCTGCATAAGGTTTTGCATGACATAAGACTAACTACTCAAAAGTAAGAACACAATAAAATCATTGCATAACATACAACATCAAAGTAATAATGGAAGACATTGAACTCCTTCAGTTTTTAAATCGTGTCTGCTCACAAATGTGGTTAAATTTCCTGGAAAACAAGAATGAGACCCAGATAATGTAAAGTTTATACAATGGCTCCTCCTAGTGACCATGAAAATAAAGAGCATATACACAATAAATGGTAGAAACAATACAGTGGTTTTGTCATGATTTGGGTACTGGAAATCCAAGAAGGAACAAGCTGGTGAGAATTTCAGTGAATTGGATATGAAATACTTACATTGCATGATGAGCTTTCACCTGCGTACGGCAGTTACGACCCCAGTAACAATCAGGGCGAGACGTTACAGCAGCTGAAGTAAGAAGAACATTAGTCCGTATAAAATCCACACACATACACATTACACAGTGTTGATGCACAGAACTATATCTTAGAAAAGGTTTCTGTACCGGGGAGATCAGATTGAGGGATGTTTTGTCTGTACTTGTAGGCCAGCTCCTTGAAGGTACGCAGACCACAGCAGTAGCATATTACAGTGTTCGCAGAGATCCGTCGATCTGAAAACATGATGACAAACAAATTGTAAGCACTGCCCTCACCGTCTCTTCAGTGTTGACGGGTGTCACCTGTCAGAGTGTAGCTGCCCTGCTGCAGACCCTGCAGAGACTCCTGCAGCACATCTCTCCATGTCTTTCCTCTTACAGACAGGTAATTCTGGAGTACATGAACAAAAAGGTATATCAATAGCCATAGCACCTCGTAAAACTTATTTAAAACAAAGTTCAGTAAATACCTGAAGTACTTCTGATTCATAATTATTGTTGTTCAGTACACCATCCAAAGATTTATCTGTCAGATTCAGATCTGCAAAAATTTCAATAAAAAAAAAAATATATATATCGTGAGATTGTCTCCAAGGCCATTTAGTTGTAGATACATACCACTGAATCGGGCCAGGCAGCCCTGACAGCCAACCCTCGGACACCCCCAGTACATGTGACAAAAGTAGCGCAGACAAATGGAACCTTCAGAGTAAACACATTTATAAATGTTAAAAGTGCATGTCCACAGCACACAAGCCATTTTGTTTGTAATAATTGTTCTTTTCCAAAGTAACTCACATTGCTGAGCAAACAACTTCTGTTGGTTTTGTGTATTTTGCCTATCTGGCATTGGCTGGAGGCAGCAGGTACAGATCAGATGTGAGGCATAAGGGGGACAGGAATACTGCTGAGAAGCCACAGGATCTGTAGAGAAAGCAGAGTACATGTCTACAACTAGAAAAATGTAAACGATAAAATAAATAGTAGTTAAATTTACCTGATGACGCATCAGCAGATGTAGAGGGCTGCTCACAGCTACTATTTGTCAGCCCTTCCTGGAGAGGGGGCTTGGGCACAGTGGGTAAGGGCAAAGGAGTGAGTGGAACAGACAAACCTGGGAGCCAGTAGCTGGAACCTGGGGTCAGCAGCACCTGACTGACCTCACTCCTGTATCCAGGACACTGTCTGCACATCACTAAAGGCTGGCTGTGGATAGAAAGCACATCCAAATTCATCAGAATGGGTCTGTACTTTGATGGACTATTTGGGATTACATAGTTGGTCTCCATTAATCTAATCCATAAATCTAATCAAATAAGCAACTCCTGGCATCCTGTGATTTTCATGTTTTTGTTCTTTTTATTTTATTCTATACTAATTTAAATCTTATCCATTCAAGTAGCCGTCTGCATTTTATCCATAAGTGATTAATAAATATGAAACTAAGGCCTTACCTGTTATCTGAAGAATCACTGTCATTGTCAGAAAAATCATAAAGGTAATCTGAGCTGCCCTCCTCATCAGAAAAAGAGCGCTCCACTTTGGGCTGCCACATGTCCTGAGTAATCTTATTACGACTGTCCATGCTTTTTAGGTCCTCTTCACTGCGGTTCTTCTCTGTGGAAGAACTGCACTGATTATTCAGTCAATTTATTAGTGCAGATTATCATCCACCAAAATCCTAAAAAAAAGTAATACAAAATTCATACAAACCTGGGTGCTGACTGAGGTATGCTTCCACCAAATTGTTGAGGATGTGGTTTTTGCAGATCCTCTCCACAGGACAGCGACAGGTGGGGCAAAGAGAAGAACGCTCCATCCAACCCGAGTAGCAGGCAGCACAAAATGTGTGCATACAAGGCTGTAAACTGGGAAATAAAGAGTTTTGAATTCATCACCTTCTTCATAAAAAAAAAAAAAAAATAAATGCTTATACAATGTACAAGGTCTTGACAGTACAAATGAATAACTTAATGAGTTATTATTACTTATTAATATGTTTGTATGAGTATATTTAAAACATTTACATTTTCTCCATAAAGACAAGCATGTGACGGAGCCTCCAACAGAAAGGTTATGTAATAACCTTTAAGTATTTCAAACTGGTTTGAATACAGTGCCAATACCAAGTGCATGAGGTGAGAAATGTCACATAATATAGAAAATCGAAGCCTATTTTATCTCAACATGTCAAATTTATATAAAGATTTATATTACAAAGAATTCACTAAATGAACTCATGGAAATATTCACTCTTTGCAGTGAACAATTAGACAAACTCACGAGTCTCACCTAATACAGTCGTATAATATGTCTTGGCAAATAATACAAGTCAGTGATTCTTCCATTATATCAGTCTTCTTTGCTTGTGCTTGTGGTTTAGACCCAACATCAGCATTCCCTTGTGTGCTTGGTCCTGATACTTCAGCCCTTTGCAGTGAGCCTGCATAATGTTGTTTGTAAATAAGTGTGTTACAATAGAAAAAATATATTATAAATGAATACTGAGCATTTACCATGATTAGTTTTCCTCCTTTTGCATTCAGGCTCCAAGTGGTCATTGTTATTATCTTGTGCTGAGACAGGGTCCTCCTTTTGTTGACCTTGTGAATGGAAATAGACATAATTATGAAGACTATAAAGATTTCTTACAAAACCTGTTGACACAGGCCTTTCTGTGAATATACATCGGTTACCACAATCACAATCATTCCTTTATTATAAAGGCAAAATTTAAGTCTCTTGCCAAATGAGAACCACTTTTTCTGAAAACTGTAATATTCCAACTCTGAAATAATACTTAGTACCATTTCAACAACAAAAACAGAATGGGAAATGTAACCTTACCAGTGCCGGTGTGGGAGGTTGAACCCTGCACAGATGCAGTGCTCCTGATGCAGTACTGAGACGTGGAGGTAGAAGGCAGTTGCTCTTCTTGGGTCAAACCCTGTGGAGGTTTTGTGAGTAACACAGGTGGAACAGAGAGGGTCACGTCGGAGTGTGGGACAGGAGCTGAGAGATCTGTAAAATAAGTAAATACAATTGTTAGAAATTTACAAAATTAAACAGTGCAAGTTTGATAGTCATTGTCTATTTACCAGATGTATTGTGGGAAGCTTCTTGCTCTGAATTAATTAAGTGAAAGGCATACGCAACATCTAGAAGAGTAGTAGTTACAATTGTAAGTAAAACATTTGGGTTTTGAGTTAAAACTTTAAGCAAAAATGGCTACTCAAATGTAATGTACTTGTAATATATACTTGATAACTCACTTTCTTGTGGTTCACTTTTTCTGTACACAAAGTGGATGATATCTCCATGTTGCAGAACATGGGTTTGTTTTCTAACCAGTTTTGACATGTTGATCACAGTGCCATTAGTGCTACAAGAAGCAATGTCACCCATTAAGTTTAAGTTACAAAATATGTGTAAATAGACACTCAGAATTTGATATTATATATATATAATACTGAGTACATGTTAGCATACCTTGTGTCTTCAAGCCAAACTAAACCTGAGCTTTCGTCAAGAGCTATCTTGCAGTGCTCGCCTGACACCAGCTTATTTGATGGAAATGACAGATCACAGCCTGTGAAACAATCAGAAATCATTTAAAAAAAATTTCTTTGGTTGATTGGAATATGTAAAATCACACAAAACTAAAACGCCTCTGAACTCTTTAAATCTTAAACTGCCCTGACGCACTAATTAAATCTCCTCACTTTGCATATAAGGTAGACTGCAAAGTACTGAACAAAGCCGACTGGTGGGGAAATATAGGCCTAGACTTTTCTTAGGCATAGCCATACAAAAAACTACTTAATATTCTGCACACATGTTCTCAATGGGCGCCTTTTGTTATCATCACAAGGGGCTGTCTAAGATTGGAGCACTAAAGAAAGCTTTGTGTTTTAAAGGGGGAGGCTGGTCCAGACACTGACAGTCATGTCTACACAGCACACACTTTTTGCTTTGTCTCTGACATAGCTGATCAGCAGGGAAATTTCACATGTAGCCACGTAATAGACACATTTTAAAATCTTATACCTCTTTTACGGCCAACTGTGTTCTCCCTGTTGATCAGCAGAACTTCATCACTGGTGTCCACTTTAATAAGCTTCCCCCACGGTCGACCTGTTTCCACATGGTTAGCTCGACAGACTGGGACTCCTTTTATATCATCAAATATTTTGTCACTTTCGTCCATCTTCAATTGTCTTCCAGACAGTGGAATTCCTGAAGTAAAAAAAAGTGAAACTTGTAAAATAATTATAGACACGTGATAATCATTTAGCATCCATTCTTCATTTAGATCTGAAACAAACTCAACCTAAAAGATATGTTAATGTTACCAACCAAGCACCATCGCTTAAATCAAATAACCGTTTCTTGCCACTGGGACATCGGCGCTCTCCTGAGCCAAACTTTGTTCAATACAAAGTAATGCAGCCACGGAGCCAGTGCTAACGGTGCGTTAGCCGCTAAATGTGCATCCCGAAATACACTGGAATAACGCGTTTTTCTTCACTGATCACACATTTAAATTGACCACATCAAATACACTTGCCTTGTCGTCAAACTCTGTCGTTTTTGCTACAATAACAGTGTACGTAAAGAGTTGTTTTCCTCATGTTTCAGCTCGCTCCAGACACACTTCCTGCTTTGACATTATTTACCGTCATCAGCTGATGGAGGAGGGGCATGTCCCAGCCTGGACCATTCAAGTCACACCACAACTTTTATTCTGATTAAGTTACTAGTATTCATAATTTTCAGACTGTTCAAGACTGTCTCAAACTCTTTGTATAAATAAAATAAGAGAGATCCTACCCTGTTACAGACGCTCTGTGCCGTAGCTGTAGAATCCAGGCGTCTGAGAGCCTAAATAAGGGTCCCCAAAAGCGTCATAGGTCCTTTCGGCTTTTTAACAGTCCAGACCCGACGAACATTACCCTAATGTTTATACGTTTATAAAACTGCCATTCATTTAAGCTATAACCTACATTAAGCCTAATATTAGCAATTAATTGTTATAAATGGACAAAATAGCCTATCATCATGGGGAATAGATTGTTTTGGTAGGTCATTTTGTACCTTACAGACAATTTAATCACAATTTCTTTGAAAATGCACATGCAAAACATAGTCATGTTGCAAACAGTAATGGCTGTTGTTTGTTTATTAGGGAACATAGTGCCTGGAAAGCCCACACTGGGCTGCACAATTCAAGGTCTAAAATTATTCAAATCATACTAGTTAAGGTGTATGGAGTTGTGTATAGAGCACTTCCAGTGGGCTATCACCACATGACATTACAAGGTGGTACAGAGCATTTTCTGTTTGTTAGAATAACTCAGCCTGAATATGCAGGCTTTGTGTGTTAAACATTTCTGAATGAACATACCAATCGGGGTATCTTTTTGATGCGGAAACAACATTATAAGATCAGAAAATAGCCTAATATGGGCCCTTTAAAAGAGTGTGAAAGAAAATTAATTGCATTTAACAAAGGTGTATAGACCGTAGGACCATGTCTTATCTTCACAAGTTCTGATGGGAGTGATTGATGGATTAACCAATCAGAGGAAGCCTGTCATGTCTGTATCATGGCGGCTAAAACACAGAGAAGTTAACAAAGCAGACACAGAGGATCAACAGGTGAAGGCCAAAACACCGCTAAACTGAGGTAAAAGAAGTTATAGTTTGTTCTGAATGATGCAAATAGTCTTCCTCTATTAAGATACATGCTACAGCGTAAAGGCTGTTATTGGCTCTTACAATGGACGAGACACTCCATTCCCTTTCCCTAAAATAAAACCCTGGTTTTATCCCCTGCAAGCACTGCTTTCTGGTTACTCTGTAACACAGTAACTGTGAAGCACAGCCTACTTCATTTACAATGACTCTGTATTGACTGCATGTTTATTGATCTCAAAAGCCGCCCTTTACTGGTCACAATTTAAAAACTATTTCATAATCAACAATCATAATCATGTGAAACCGCTACGCTCTACTGTGGCCTATACAGTTAACATTATATGATTTTCAGTTATTTTCTATAGACAATAATGGTCTTTGTCAAAGTTACAATGCAAATCACAATTGTACACAATGTACAACAAATTCTTTAGGAAATACTGTGAAAAAGAGCTCATCAGGCTGCTCATTAGAAGAACAGTGACAGATCAGTCACTTCTGATGCTATGAATCACCACAGTCTCTTATGATACTTCACTTAGATTTGTCATTTTCTGTTGAAGTTTTAACTGGACTCAGAATAGCCCAGTTGTAAATAAGTAATGTTTATTTTTGTTCATACTGTTTGCCCAATAAAGTCAGTCATCTGTCATCATGTAATTTTTGTGGAGTACACCACCCATCTCCATGGAGATGTCATTACTGAGAATGTTCTACAGATTGACATTAAATAAATCTTTCTTGCATTTATTCAATGATAGGTGTTTTTAATATTATAATACTTTGAAAAATATGCATTCTTACAGTGAGTGAGGTTTATCTCCACAGATCACACATGCTTGCCAATATAGAGATAGAAGTTTAATGCCATACTTTGGAACAATCCAGGCAAAGCAGTGATATCTCCATTGAGACAAGCAGGTGGCTTGCCCTCCAAAAACACATATAGTGCAGCTTTAATTAAGATAATATGATAAAATGAATCCAACTCTGGATTCATGGGTTTTGAAGACAATAATGTAGATCCATGTTGGTGGTTTTTAAAATGAATAAAGTGCATTGTGTTTCTCTAACAGAAATAGCAGAAGAGTCCTTAATGCAGGACTAATCTGAGCGTTGCCTCGTCTATCCCCAGCAGTGCATCATTAATGGGCAGTGTGCGGGCTACTGAGGTCAGGGGCCTCTCCTCGCTAATGCGTCCATTCCTCATTCTTGGGTGTCTGCAGAGAAAAGGTATACACACATATTCAAGCACACAGGCTCACAACTACACAGAGATGTGCCATCCATGCAGAATCTACTCTTAAGGGAAATTATGATATTTTTAGTTGGCATTCAATGGTGAGAGCATAGTCCTCTGCAGATGCTTTGATAAGGTCACAACGGCAAATTGAATGTGGCTTATTGAATCCCACACCAGCTCTGTCAATCAGCATGTCCTAATTGGATCAAAGATTACTTGTGGCAGCTGTATAAAACATCAAACGAGTAATTAAATGAAATAATGAGAAAATAAACCTTAATGTTGCCAAGTGGGAATGGAGGCAAGCGGAGGAACGTGATTCCGCTGCGCTCTGTGAAATTATCTCTCTCCGGCTCGGGCTAATTGCTGGAGGATGTCCTCTTAACTGAGTGTGAAAAGCTGTGTCTAATTACTGCAACATTAATCAGGCATTAGCATGTTATCACAAGGTTAACTTATCAGGAGGGGCCCAGAAGCAGCTGGAGGTGCCACTTACCAGCACTGCATTCCACCAAAGGGGCCACAAGGGGTCGTGCTTGTTCTTTCTGTCAAACACCCACTGCAGAGCTCCCCTTCGAAGACGCAAGAGCCACAATGAAAAGGCGACCATGTTGAATTTGCTTTGTGTGCATTAGCCTGTGCAGATTGAGGATGTCCGAATCCAATATGCAGCTATTTCCTGCATGTTGTGCATTACAAATCATTGCAGTTGCATTGAGGACAATAACACACATGCAGATATAATTTTGTAACATCTTCCCTTATGCTGGCGCCTACCAAAGGGTATCTTCTCAATGGGGACTTAGAAGAATTACATGGACTGAATCTGTGAAATCAATGCTAAACAATTGTGTGCTTAGGGAAGCGGCTGATTGTTCATGGTGTAATGAAGATTGACTGGATTGTGATTGCAAATTACCCACTGCTGAAACGTGTTTACAGACAAAACACTACATCTTAAATGTCAAATATGAGCAGTATAATTATTGGATCTTGCCCCAAGCTGGTGTTATAAAAATAGGCCTATTAAAGACTTGCATATCCTCCTACCAGCCAGAATAATAAATAAACCACAGAAAGGGACACACTGACTTACATACATAATCAAATTAATATAGGGCCCAATAAAACTGTAAAGAGCTATACAAATACTAAAAATTCTATATAAATATTCAAACTATACTCAAATTGACTCTGGCACCTACGTTACAAATGTTTTATGTTAATCTATGTATGACAATTTAAAGAAAAGACACACACATCCAAAAAATCTCAGCAGTGTACATGACTCAAAAAGCAAAAAATCTATACAGCAAGAAAACACATTTATGTATAGTGTTGTCAAAAGCATCGAAAATGAGATTCTAATCAGTACCTTAATTAAAGTATCAAAACTACAGACTCATTTAAACAAGTATTGATATTGAAAAAAATCACATAACTGGATGACATTTCACACTTCCTGAACAGCTTCATTTTGAGTTTTATCAGAGTAAAAGTAAGACCATATGGAATAATAAACAAAAATGTCTCTGTTGAAAATGACTGTATTGTCTAAGAAAATAGTTCATAAAATGATCATTTGGGTATCAAAATCAGTATAGAGTTTCAAGTCTATTCTTTAAAAATCAAAAAATCAAGTTTGACATGTATCTTGACAACACTTTTTAGGTATGACAAAAATGTCTAAAATATACATTTTCAAAAACAACAGTAAGGTTTGATCGATATCCTATCACATTGTCTTGCCCTTTTATCTTTGGCAAGTTCATTGACTGATGTTTTCATTGATTACCTCTGCTGTGCCTTTTGAGTATAATTATAAGTCATATATTTTCCTATATTCTGATAACAAACTGTATAAAAAGTGAACTTCACCCATAGCATTCATCTCCAGTCAACTGAAGCTCCCTGTTATAGGAGCGAATTTAGAGCCAGGTCCTTAATTGGAATAGGAATTCATGTTCAAAATAACAAAATAAAAACGGCAGCATCATGTAGAGCGGGTTAATACAAACATTTTAAGACCAAAAGGATGAGGCTCACTACAGCAGTTACAGAAAGAGGGGTGACGATTTCTCAATGTAAAGTGAATTGGAAATGGAGCTGAAAGAATCCCTGAAGCGCCCTCATGAACACTTCCTATCTGGAACATGGCGGCTAGTGGGTTAGTTATGTCTGTTTATATATACAGACTATGATTCTAAAGGCCAGTTCAAGAGCGACTAGTGTCTGCTCCATAGCTTGTCTTTTTCTGAATAACCTCCACTCTATATATGTTGTGCATATTATACCATGTGATGCACTGATCTGGCAGCACCCTGACTTCATTACCATTCACTCTCATCAGAATTCTGTACTAAAGGCAGCAGCAGCAGCACCTCCAGCAGCAGAAACCTCGCCAAAGGCACTCATTTGTCAGAGAGGCACGCAGATCACAGGCCGACAAATCTCCCACGTCTCCCAGACTGTCAAGCTCTTTGCCTGCATATCAAAGACAAAAGAACAGAGCCGGAGCAGAGGAGAGCAGCCATGGCGTTCAGAAATGCTTGGCTGTGTGAACCCCCTCTTTGAAAACGCCTATTAGCCTGGGTGAGAGAGATTACAAGCAAATAAAATTACACTCATTGTGATATTTGATTTCATAATACCTCCTGAATTATAATTACACCGCACTGGCACTTTTGATTTAAAACCCATTTGGCGACAACAAAGAGTGGTAGATTGGAATAAGCAGGTTGTGTAACG